TATCTTAACTTCATTCGGACGAAGACGCGTTTCGAAAATGAGCTCTTTTCGGAAAATCAATTCATAATCAAAAACTTATAAAATTTACATAGCTATATGATTCTCTGGAAAAGTTTTCAATCTTCACTCCACCATGAGGAACCTTAAATAGCTGCCAGCTATGTTCGTGGAAAGCGACGATTAATTTCTGACCTAGAAATCTTAAAGCTCTGTAGAAATCACAAAATTTGTCCTTGAAAATATTATTCTGCAAATCGACGACTAGTCGCTCGTCAGCCTCCCTCCGGTCGGCCACTCGTGGCTAGCCGTTCCATGTACATTTTCACTCTTTCATTTAGTCTAGAGTCACTTTTGAAACTAATTCATTCATTTTCTTATATTCCCTCTTTAAAAGTCACCCTCTTTGTACTACTGTGACTCTCGAAGACAACACTTGACAAGCGAAACATTATCTTGAATGACTGGCATCAGATGATATTCGTATAGTATAGCTGTTTATAAAAGTGTGTGATCGCATTAATATGGTGATGACTATGGAGATCCAGCGATCGGGCGTCAGTCAGCTATTACATTTTGTTGTACTTATTGCCACTTAAAACATTATCGTCTAAAAAATTGATCCTTTGTCGCAAAAAACCGGGTCAGAAAATGTTTATGAAAAAACTAACACCAGATTCGAGATCCTCGACCTCGATTACCCTTCGGTCAACCCTTAGGCGCCAGCAATATAGATTGTTATTTCATCACTGTAAAGTGCGTGAACGGACGAACGGACAAACGGACAAACGAACGAACTTTAGCTCAAATTCTGCGTATACCCTCCTTTCAGTAGAGGGAATTAAATTTCAAAAATGAAATTTTCTTTTATCTCGCTCACATATTTTCACTAAAAATCTCGTTGATCTTTTATACTCAAAAGTAGATGAACGAAATTACAAGAAGATGTGAAATCTTCAGAATTATTCTCTCAATATTCTTTTATCCAAAACAAGCAATATTTTCTTCCGTATTCTTGAATTTTTATTATATGAAAATCGATTAAACAGAAGGAAAAAATGAATAATATTGCATTTATACTCAATATCATTGCATTAATTCTTGATATATGTACATTTTCAATCACATTATTTATTCTTATTCTTATTATTTATAATATTTGTTATAAAAGTATCAAAAAAGGAGATCGAACAGTAATTTGTCTTTGTTTAACTATTTACTCAATGATTTTTTTCATAACATCATTCACAATGTCATTTCATATTCAAACACTTTTAGGTGATTTATATGAAATCAATTTCAATTCATTATTATGTATTCCAATTTCTTATCTATTCTATGTTTGTGTCACTCTGCTTTATTGGTCATTCGTCAGTCAAGGGTTTTTTCGTCTTTCTCGAATAGTTTATCCAAATATTCAATATCTTCAATCATTCTTCTTATATTTTATTTTATTTTTCATTGAATTAATTTTTAGTTCGATTATTTTATGCCCACTTCTTTTTTGGCATTGCTTGGCCTATTTTACTAACGAATATTATTGTTCTATCAAGTTCACAAATATTAATGCTGTGCTTTCGTTTGCGTTTATCTCTTATGGAAGTTCACTTTTGTTATTATCATTAATCTATTTAAGAATTGTAATATTTCTCCGTCGACAACCAAAAAATCAGAGTTTAATCGTTAAACAACGTCAACACAGAGATTTGGCGGTTTTCCAACGTATTCTACTGACTGTAGGTTTATTAGTAATGATCGGAATACCAACAGTAGTCTTTGTAATAATAGCACAGACTACAGGTCAAGATTATTTTCTTGCTTTTCGTGTTATTTGGCCATTTTTTAGCCTATCGATGATGATGACAGATATATTATTAGTAATGTTTTCCCCACAATTAAAAGTTATTATTCGTTCCAATCGAGTTGTACCTTCACAAACAACAACCGTGAATTCAATTGAACAGCATCATCGTGCGAATATACCTATGAATGTATTTTAACTTGTTTTGTAAATGTTCTTTTTTATGAATAAATGAAGAAAAATCCAATATAAATCTGAAAATAGTATAAATATACGTAACTTAAAATAACGTCAGTCAAGATGGAATTGTTATTGATATAATCTTTGTGGAAATTAATTGTTTGAGGCTGGTTTTGATAGGAAGAACTTATTGAAATTCTTACTGTGACACGTCAAAAGATGCAGCGTTGAAAGCTGAATAAAATTGCATATTTGCACCAAAAGAAGCCATTGTTCCAGTGAAAAAAGGTGAATGTTTGTTATGTAGTACAATTGATTCTCTTCTACAAAATGGCTTTCAAAATACGTTTGAAAAATGGTATACTTGGGGTGAAAATTGTATCACACGTTTTGATTTTTAGCGGTTTTTCAATGGGTTTCGAGGAAAATCGAATATTTATCATCTTTTTTCGAGTCTTCGACAGAAAAATTGAGCAAACTCTTCACTAGTTCGACGAAATGCGCTGAAAATTTGAATTTAAGAGTTTCTAATGATTATACTGCACGGAATGAAATTGTCAAATCGCAAAACAAAATTTTGACGAATGTCTCGATAACTATTTCAAAGTTGTACCGATTCGACATCGTTTGATGTATCGCCGATAACAAATTTTTTATTGTTAAGCACTGCGATAGAGTTACCATTATATTTGATACCAATTCTTTCCTTTTGTCCCCATGTTCTTACACAATGAACTAGATTTTGACCAGTTGTCACAAAGAATTGGTTCACTTCATCACTACGAATTTGTATTGAACCGTTGCATGAGCCTAAGTCTTGTGTTTTCACAGGAATCATATCTAGATTTAAAATACTAATCTGCACTACGTAACCATTGTTCTGTGCACGCTTGTTAATCGATGCTACGGAATTATTTGTCAATGAAAAACTGACTCCATTGCGAAATGTCATTGGTATAGTTCCTCCAAATTTGATCGTACGGATCGATTGAAATGTTGTTGAGTAAACATTGATTGTATCACTCTCATATTTTCTAGGATTGGCCCACACCCACAAGCTAGCATCATTAGCTGCGACAAGTATATCAGAGCAATTGATATAGCGAATGGCGGTCATAATTTTGAATGCAAAGTTTCGATATTCAACGGTATAGACATTTTCACTCGTTGCACAAATGAACTTTCCAATACTCTTCCAATAAATCATATCGACAATCGATGGTTGATGCCAATCACGATATCGATCGGAAACTTGTAAGTTGTTCAAATCACAGTAAGCAATCTTAAGAGGTGTAGTATTGTATGTACTATACATGATATTAATACCATCACTAGCCATACAATCAACTGGAAAGTCTGTTGGCAATAAACATTCAGGTGCGCTATCGTCTGAGGTTTCGGATTGATCGACTGTATCATTCCAGTCTAATACTACATTTTCAATATTGTTTTTCATTTCTTCAACGGCACGCGATTGTAATGGTTCAGTCACAGGAGAAGGATCTTTTGGTGTGACGTCAGTATTGGGCACAGCAGTATTTTCAAGCTTGACTTCGCAGTTGAATGTAACATCAGGAAGTTTTACCTTCTTGTTCTCGATTATGTTCTTGAGATCATTTCGAACATGATCAAGATCTGTCAATAAACTGGATATTTGTGTAGCATCGAAAAGAGTTTCTTTAGTTAAACTATTAATTTTGATAGATATTTGCTGTAGTTTAGTGAGTATTTCCGATAAACGATCCTAAAATACCGCCGAATATATGAAACAATTTGAAAATGAAGCTCATGAGAACAATACTTGTCCACGCTTTTCGGCTTCATCAATATTATCCATGATTTTCTTTTTTGCTTCAATTATTCGATGAAACCATTCGTCAACATCACGCCTTGCATTTTTCGTTTCGACCTCAATCATTTTTTGTTTGGTTTGATATAATTCATGCACTTCATTGTATTGATGTGAGAGATGTGTAATCTTATCCTGGAGTTCCTCATGATGTTCTTTCATACAGTCGAAGCAGAACGAGAGAGAGCAATGATTGCATCGACAGAGGGAAGCCCGTGTTCTTTTATATTTCTTTGAACATTCGACACAAAAATCAATAGAAGAAGCGGACGCCATGTTGTTCTCAAACTTTAGACATTAAATTGTTTAGTAAGACAAACCAAAAGTCTACCAGCATCCACGTTTTATATAACAGTCACATTAGTCAAAGGTAGTAGTCAACAGAAACGGCATATTTTTCATATTTTAGATGCGACACATCGTTCTCGAAAGATGTCGTTTGCAATTGGTTATCTGTTACATTCGACTTACACATATTTTTCCTCTAATTTTAGTTTGGTATAACAAGTAGATTAATGTAAACAATGCAATCCGGTGGAGTAAGCATTACTTGGTGTGAGGTTAACACGATGTAACTCTCATCGCATCGATTACTTTGTTATGTGGGTGTAATTCGTACTGTGATGTGTTATTAATATACATAAGACAAATCTCACTTGAAAAAATCTAGTTCAACTTCAGAGTTCGAAGTGATTTCTGTTTATTTTCAAGAGAATCGCCTATACAATCGGAAAACTCTTTGAAAAGAAAACAACTTCGAAATGTTTTTGATCTGTTATTCATTTTTATTCATATGAAGAAGAGAAAAAAACCTTAATCAAATTCTGGAACAGAGATTTGTTTCTTAATCATTTGTTGAATATCTTCAATATCATTTCGAAAAACACTTTGTAATTCATCGGGTAAAGAATAAAACGCATCTCTAACCGAATGCATTCTGATTGATCGATTGAAAACTCGATTATCTTTTACATTGTTAATTTCGAATAAAAAATTCGTTCGAATTTTCTCCAAAATTTGTCGATAAACATCGGAATATTTTGTATAACCATTTGATGAAACAAGTTTCAATTGTTGACAAAGATATTTTGGTGAATCGTTCAGATATTTATTCAAATCGGCAAAATCATATTGTTCAAGAATTTCTTTGGGTAATTGAGAAATTCTTGTCTTCATTTCATTGATTTGANAGAGAAAATCTTGTTTGGAAATTGCATTTAACATTGATTGATAGATTTGTTCGGAAAGTTGAAGAAAATCGAGGTGAGATTTTCGAAAAGATTTTTCAAATCGATCATTTTCGTTCAATTCGATGAAAAATTCATCTAAACAAATCAACGATCGAAGTCGAGATAATTTCTCTTTGAAATCTTCAAAATTCTCATTGATTTTATCTTCTTCAATTTCATTGATAATGGAATGATGATAATTCACGAATTTCTTTTGAAAAGATTTCAATTTCTTTTCTCCATTCGAATATTTGAAAAGAATTTCGAATTTCTTCATTGATAAGAAATTCAATAAATATTTTTGAAAATTTTCTTGACAAAATTCCTTTATCTTTGATCGAACTAAATAATTAAAGTATCGGTCAATTTCTTTTTCAACAAAATTTACGTATTCACGAAGATAAACTTTCAAATCTTCATTCACTTCATTCACGAATTTTTGAATAACTGGATTAGTGAAATTGTCGAATTGATTAATATAAATGAAGATACAATTCATCTCCGATGCATCGAATTCATCGTGAAAATAAAATTGTTGTTTTGATTGAATATAATCATTGAGATCGTTGATGATTTCTTCAATTTTCTTCAATAAATTTTCATAATTATCAAAGGAATTTTCAATTAAAAAGAGAGTTCCTTTGTCTGAATCTTCTTGAATTAATTTTGCGTAATGATTTGAAATTGCTTGAAGATTTGTTAAATTTCTCTGCAGTTTATTTTGATTTTTGAGGTGGGTTTCATGAATTTTCTCCAGATCATTTCGATAATTTTCCAATTTGTCTTTCACTTGATTAATATTTGAATATCCATTTTGTTGCGATGGATTTGTCAATTTATTAAAAATTTTTTCGAAACTTTGAAAAGAATTGATTTTTCTTACAAAGATATTCTTCATTTTGTTTTTCAAATTCTTTTGCACTTCGTTCAATTTCATTTGTCACTTGGTCAATGTTCGAATAGCCCAATTCTTTCAACTAAACAATCGACGGACAGAAACTTTCATATTGTTGTTGCAACTCTTTCAAATGATTCAAATCAGTTCTTAGATGATCCACTTTTCTCTCTTGTAAATTGAATTTCTGTGGAATTGAGTCGAAAATTGCTTTAATTGATTGGCAAAACTCTGTATCGATTCGTTCGTTACAAATTCGTAATTGAGGAAGAAAACGATGAAAATCTTTGAATGAATGGATTTTCTGAAGAATTCCATTTGTTCAAGAAATTCAACTTGAATTTTTCGTCGTAATTTTCGGATGGAAAGACAAATCGAATCGATGATTTGGTAGAAAGTTCGATTTGTTTGTATTTCAATGTCAGGTAAAGTTCGAATTAATCGAAACTGTGTCAATTAAATAGTGAATCAAATCAAAATCATGTTTATCTCAATGTTCTTTGACTTTCAAAGAAATTTCTTCGGTAAATTTGAGCAAATTTCCAATAAATTCGCTGAAAGTGTCATTAAAACTTGTTGTCAAACATTAGCGCTGCCATCTATTAGAATACTCTATATCGTATATGATTCCTCTTGTTGTGCAATTACTTGCTCTCATTTCTTGACTTTTCATTGTATGTGCAGCATCGAAATGGGATTCGTTGTAAATGCTAAAACCAACACTTACTTGCCGAAAGATCTCGCACTTCCTTAGCCACAAATTTTGAAACGGATTATTATTTCTACGATTATGAAAATAATCTTCTGAACTGTAAACTATACAGCCCAAAATTCTTTACCCATCCTACTTCAAACTAGTGCGTCCACTGATTATCAACGAGCATGAACTGATCGATGACCTGTTGAATGTCTTAAAGAAATATGCTGATAGTAAATCAAATGAATGTTATATGGAAACGAATTTAAATGACATCGATTGGGATTATATCAATAAACTACGTTCGCTCTTACGAGGTTTGGTTCAAACGAATCTAAAACATTTCTATTATCGTGGTTTAACACTCAGTTCGGATAATGCGATCTTGATATTTATGCGAACGGATACATGCAGTGAAAAGACAAAGATCAATCTTATGAATATATGGAAATGGAGTACATTTGTGAATGAAAACGAAGCACTGCTGGTTGTGGGAACAAAACCCGAAGATGATACAGATTCGTCTGAAAATAATTAAAATAAAATCTTCTTTCATCAGTGTAAACGACCATCTGTACAAATAATTGTTCAATCTATTTGCTGAGATAATAAGCAACTATTGATATGGCAAACAAACAGATATCTATATTTGCAGTGATGATGACTGCAAATGCACCTGTGAATAATTGTGGATCACAATAATTGAATGAAGTTGTATTGTAATATTCAATATGTTTATAATTAGCCGTAATCCAAGCATTTCCACAACACCATAGGACAAAGCTTATCAATAGACAAATCAGAGCTGCATACAAAGTCAGAGTACCGATGCCTTGTGAAACAAAAGATTGTGAAATATGGCTGCTGTAGAGTTCTTACCTCGACTTTTTTCTTGAGTTGTTCCGTTTTTTTGCCATGCTTCACCCGGATGTCTAATCCAGTGTTGATATGTAGTTATAGTTGTTGCAAAATCTTCTTCTTTACAACAGAAGATGACAAGTATGAAGAGAAACGGCCATGTGATTTCCACGACACCACTGAGAATTAGATAAGTTTTTACATTGGATTCAAGCGGGCATGACTGATACGAAAACATGGAGTAGAGTACAAGTTTGGTAATCACTAAACTAACGTAGATGACGACAGCCAAGATGAGTAGGCCGAAAGACAACAGTTGCGAAATGCTAAAAATATATAAGACACGATGTGAACATCATTTACTCTGACGTATCTACTGACTGGCCCATGATATCGTTATGTTGAAGAATTACAATGTAGTAAAAACTATGAATCTCAATCGAATCAATCTACCAACAGAATGTAATTCTCGACAAAATCTTGTTCGTTTTATTTACAACTGATGACTCCATTATCAGACCATAAAAATGTTAGTAATTCTTTTCTTCCCAATATCAAAGATTACAGAAACGATTTTTAAAGCACTCGCGAAACATGGTGTTGTTCGTCAATCAACACTAACCGAGGTAAAATATTGACTCGAAAGTAATGCTTTTAACTCACATACATTGTCAAATCATCGTATCTGATTGACATATAAATCTGAAATTTATGCGAAGATATCTAAATCTTTTTTTCACCTAAATGCATACTCTCTGAAGATGGAGAGTTGATCCTATCACGTCCACATGAAAATAAATGTTAATCAATGATTTACATGTTGATCTTTTGACTGATCATCGCGTACTTTAAAAGCCGCAGAAAAAAAGACAACGAGAAGCTTTGAATATAATTTGCCATGGGTAGTAGCAGCTTTATTATCGCAAAACTTCTTATCCTCAGTGTTTTCGTTTATTGTGCTACCGTGACGACAATGACATGAATTTCGACTCTGAATATGGACTCACAGTGCGCTCTATTTTGAAGGTGGATGATCAACTTTATGACGTAATTGTATCATCAAATGAAGTGCTTAATGATCAAACCATTCGCATACTCTTTCCATTGGATTATGCCACTGGTGATGCTGAGCGTTGGGCGAGTGCGGATAGTGCATCATTAATCAATGTCATGCCGAATGGAGATCCATTTGGATTCTATACCAATTGAGTTATTCCGGGCAACGGTGCTCCGCAAAACTGGCGTACATTTCATATGGAACAACTAGTGTCTTGGATTGATTTTAATCTACGTACGGCAGTCAGCAAACAAAAGGACGTGCTATTGCTGGCCTTTCAATGGGAGGATTCAGCGCAATTCATTATGCTGAATTCTATTCACATACGTAGAGCACATATCGCGTGATGGTAGCTATCGTTTACAAGAAATATTGGCATCCTTAAATATCCCGGTTTATCTAAATGATTATGAAAATGGACAACCAATTGGGTATGAATGTGATGGAGCACATGCATGACCGTGTTGGAGAACAGCATTTATAGATGTTTTACCTCGAATAGTGGCAACTTTACAACAAGAATTCTAAAGTGAAATATTTTTTAATCCTCAGTAGTTTGCAGCATCTTTATTCGTATTTTTCGTAGAGTTGTATTGGATAACCTAACACTTCAATAAAACTGCTGATCGCATACAAATCTAGTTTTCTTGACAATCAACAATCATTTCTCGATCTGAAATCTTAATCAAATACATTCAAATGTATCTTCCGACATTATCAAAATGGAATTGTGCTAAATTTGAATTTCGGAAAGAGAACGTGGGACAAATACAATGAAGTAGCTCTTGGAAAAAAAGAACCTTTTTACTATTTGCTGTTCCGTGTAAAAGATCTCGATAGGAAATCGGATATATATATATATCATGCAGTTTTTTCGCGAAGTTACCTTCTTTAATCTGTCACACACATTTAAATTCAAATAATTGATAAATCTGAATTGATTATTCTCATGATATTATTCTTAAACATCACGTATTCGCCTTGGATTAATATTAGTATTATTTGGCAAATTGACGTGCTCTAATTCAGCAAAATTCTCTTTTTCTTTCTTCTTTTTTTATTGATTACAGATCATTTTTCAATACATCAATGGAAACATGCGAACGTGATTTCAACATGAATATTAGTTTTTTTGTTCTCGGTAATAATTCTTTGTAAAACTTCTATTGGTAGAAGGTACAGATAATGAAAACTATTATCTTTGCATTAGATATTTCCATTGTTTTCACTCAAGTATTTATTTATAATACGGAAAATGATCTGTTGACGGACAAATTCGATTGTATTTATCATACATACGATAATGGAGAAGAAATTGTTTGTTGTCGACGATTGAAAACAGAAGAGAAACTTCATCGAAACAAACAAAAATGTGAAAATCAAGGTGTGAGATTTTCATTTTATGATCTTCTAAATCAGAATATTAAATCAGATGGAATTCTTCATTGGAGCTAAAGTATCGAAATGGTTGATCGCTATGCTCGTATATTCTACAATCGAACATTGATTGAAATTGACAATGCTCAATTTGTGTGTAATTGTACAAAATCGGGATCATTTGGCAAATATTGTGAATATCAATTGACACATCATGTTGAATCTTTTAGTAAACCAATTGAAGATCAATTTAAACAAAAGAAAAAGGGTGATCCATGGCAGAGATGGGCAAGTCAGAGGTTTTTCCAAGTCAAGTCAAGTCAAGTCAAGGTCTTTCACTAAACTATTCAAGTCAAGTCAAGTCACCTTGATTCAAAGTTCGCTTAAAACCATCGTTTCTGCGGCATGTTTTTTATGGAACTTTCAACAAGTCAATACTTCTATTATTCAAAAAAATAGTAGGTTCATAACAAATATTCTCACTGATGCAACAAAAAATAACTGAAAAACAAATCTGTTCACATTCACAAACATCGCCAGTTGATTTTACAACGACAATGGAATATGTATCATCCGAAAAAAGTGCGTTACACAATACCATCATTACATTTCAATAAAGTAAGTTGTTCCAGAGTCTTTCAGGACATTCGTGCACGATGAGAACGAAAGAGGAAACCACTCTGAGAAAAAACTCTTTCCACAGCAGCTGATGTTGCTGGGATGCATAAATATTTGACAGCTAATTTGGCCAACGTTTTGTAC